ATACTGGAAACAAATGCCAGGTGAAAATTAAACAGGACAGGAGTCCAGTCAGTGGCGCCTTAAAAACGAACGAAATTCATTTCACTATGAACACATTAATCTGCTTTATACTGAAACCGTCTAAATCGGAATTGTTTCCTCAGCCTGGCAGCTGTCCAGGGTCTCTGGCTGAGGTACTTCGCATCGTCACCTACGGCTTGATTCTCACTGGGCATGCTGGGGATTCAACCTCGGACATTCTGCGTGCCAGGCAGATGCTCTGCTACTGAGCCACGGCCCCTCCCGCTTTTGTCAGTCAGAGCTCACTTTTAGATATGTGGAAAGAAAATCACTTGGGGAATATTTATAGAGGAAGATACAGAAGGAGGCATGGACATCAAGACTAACAGCATTTATTCTGTTGTTTGTCTGAAGCTTATACTTTGAATAAAACTTTGTTGGTCTCAAACTTTGTTCTGCTGCTTCAGGCCAACACAGCTATCCACCAACATTTATTCCAGCATAAGTTTTTGTTTATCTGGGGTTACCAGATGTCCTCTTTTTAGAGGGCATGTTGTCTTTTTTTGGTGACCATCCTCTTTTGGGCTCTTTTTAAAAAACTGATGAAAATGTCCTCTTTTTGGTTTGGAAGTTTGGGAATATTCCTAGTTAGTAGCAATTATCACAGTTTAAATAGTAGGGGTATTTAAAATGAGATTTGTCATAGTGATCACTTGTTTGAAGTAGTCAGTTGGGAAACACATTGTCTTTTTTGCTTTTCAAAATATGGTAACCCAAATGCACACTCCAACTCCCCGATTTTACCTCGTTAAGCTCCTGGGTCAGATGCTCTCCCTCTCGCTCACTGACATACCTACCCCTGTAAACTTAAATAAACAAAATAACCCCTTCTGTGGATAAATACCACTTAGAATCTAAATGGCACAGATAAAAGCCACGCATTCGGTTGTGCTAACTCCTTCATTATAATATTTTTTAAATTTTTAATATGAAACAGACACAAACCAACAAACATAAAGAACATACAAGTTGGGGGTTACATATACCTTCTAATTATATCTGTTACAATACCTCCTACATTATATGCATGTATATTAATCAGTTTTTATCACCATATACTTATAGCTAGATGTTCTGTAATATAGTTAAAACTAAATTCTAAAATGTCTCTAAATAAGATTATAAATCTACATTGTTCATTTACTGTAATCTTTGAACCATTTATAAAATCTTGACCACGTACTCTGGAATCTCCTTTCTTCTTGTCCACTCAAAAATAAAGTCAGTTTATCCATCTCAGCAGTTTCAAGAGTTTTGCTTAACATTTCTTCTTTTGAAGGTACTTCGTTTTTCCTCCAGTATTTAGCATACAATATTCTTGCAGTGGTCAATACATGTATAATAAGATAAAAGTCTTGGGTTTTTTTACAATTTTCTGGTCTAATATTCAACAAAAATAATTCAGGTGTAAAAGGTATGGTACATTCTAGCATTTTTTGTAACATTTCATGAATCCAAGACCAATACTTTTTAACTCTATCACATGTCCACCACATATGAAAAAATGAGCCAACAGCCTTTTTACATTTCCAACAATTATTAGATAAAGTAGGATAACATTTTGCTAGTTTATCTGGAGTCATATACCATCTATAAAACATTTTGTAAATATTTTCTTTATATGCAGTTGCTTTAGTAATTTTTACATTTGTTTTCCATATCTGCAACCATTGCGGTTGTGCTAACTCCTTGATGACTGAGAGTGCAATTTTGGTTGCGTCAGAACTGTGTGGGGAGTCTGAAACTTTCAGCTTTTTTCTCCCACCCACCCCCATCCCCAACACATCTAAATGAAGATTTACAGATAGGACGTGAAATCAAAGATGTATTTCCTCCTTGTTCCAGGCTGTTTTAGTTTGTTTTCCAATTCCTCTCAACACAAATTATAGCGATATATGAGGCAGCAAGTGAGAAGAGGTGGAATAACTTGTAGAAGTTGAAGACTAATTTGCGAGCGGTGGAGCTGAAACAAGACTGAGATGAAAGAAGGTAGTGGTGAGAGAGCAGAGTTGCCAACTCTGGGCTGGGAGATTTGAGTTGGAGCCTGGAGAGGATAGGAAACTCAGCAGGTTGTAATGTCATAGAGGTCACTCTCCAGCCATGCTCCTTCTAAGCTGTGAACATAAGAACATAAGAAAAGCCAATGCTGGATCAGGCCAATGGCCCATCCAGTCCAACACTCTGTCACACAGTGGCCAAAAATACCAGATGCCATCAGGAGGTCCATCAGTGGGGCCAGGACACTAGAAGCCCTCCCACTGTTGCCTCCCCCCAGGCACCAAGAATACAGAGCATCACTTGCCCCAGACTGAGAGTTATTATATATACCTTGTGGCTAATAGCCACTGATGGAGCTCTGCTCCATATGCTTATCTAATTCCCTCTTGAAGCTGTCCATGCCTGTAGCCACCACCACCTCCTGTGGCAGTGAATTCCATGTGTTAGTCACTCTTTGGGTGAAGTACTTCCTTTTATAAGTTTTAACCTGACTGCTCAGCAGTTTCATTGAGTGCCCATGAGTTCTTGTATTGTGAGAAAGGAAGAAAAACAGGTCATTTCAGGGGGGATCGCAGTTCCCCCGGGTGAGGTACAGGGGCGGGGCACATGATGAAGCCCCGCCCCCTGCTTCTGGCCGCCCCGCCTCCGGCCCTCATTCAGCCAGGAGGCAGAAGAGGGAGGGTAAGTTGCTTCCTCCCTGCCTCTCCCCACCCCTGCCTGCCTGGGGCCAGGGAGGGCCTTCTTCCAATTTTTTGAGGCCTTCGGTAAAATTTCTGCTGAAGATTGTGTCAAAATTTCACTAGGGGCAGTATTTGTCTTTACCTGTGTTTTGTCCCGGCCCCACTTCTACAGATAAGAGAAGGTGGCACACCTTAGAAGTCAAAAGGTTACTTTTTATTTGCACAGAATATGTGCCTTCAGATGTACCTTATGTTTGTCTGCTTTGCGGGCTCCTCAAACGGGAAGCCTGCATCATCACAAACCATTTCTAGATGGATTGTGAATACAATCTCACATGCTTATGATGCTGCCTCCCTCCCATGCCCTTTGCATGTGACTGCACATTCCACAAGGTCAGTGTCATTGTCTACTGCATTGTCTCTCGGAGTTTCTGTGCAGGATATCTGTGCTGCGGCTACATGGTCGTCAGCAGACACTTTTGTAAAACATTTCTCAGTTGACACTGTGTGTACACAGGTCACTTCAGTGGGTACAGCTGTTCTTCAATCTGTTAAAATAAAGATGTGTTTGTTCTTTGCTCACCCCGCTTCTGATTCTTGGTATGCTTTCTAATCTCCCACGTGGGACTGCACCAGACAACGCCAATGAAAACAAGGTTGCACTTACCTAGAACTATTTTTCATTGATTTGTCCTTGTGCAGGCACACATCCCTCTCTCCTGCCCTGTGTGAGTTTAAAAAAAACCTGTTCCTCCGTGGTCGGCTTAGGAGAACTGAGGGAGTGTGGGGAGCCCCTCCTGCAAATCACGACTTTTTGGGCAGGAAACGGTTCATTGATGTCTGGTTGGGAAGGGCTTCTCCCATTCTGTTTCTATGCTATGAAGAATTCTTTTGGTGGCTGGCCTATGGCTCTGCAGATCCCATGTGTGCCTGCACAATGACAACTCGATGAACAACAGTTCCAGGTAAGTGCAACCTTGTTTCTTTCCGTTGAGACAGGAAGGGGCCAGGTTTTTTTAATGGTCAGGGAGAGGTTTTCCTGTGGCCCAAATGTGAACACGGGCGTTCGTGTGTCAAAGAAGAGACCCAAAGGAAAATATAAGACTTTATACCTTAGCAGGAACTTGGGGGAGAGGGAGTGAGTTGAGAGTATAGAAGTAAATTAAGGCTTAGAAAGATGAAAAACTTCATAGATGTAGATACTGAAACAGCTGAAGAGAAGCAGCAGATAGACAGTTGGAGGTACAGCGTGACACTAGGAAAAAATCTGAGGGAGAGAGGTGCTAGTTGGATTTGGACAAACAGCTTTTTTCCTTTATGTTGATCTGGCAAATATTGATTTAGAGTTATGTATCCTACAATATTTAGACTTAATTCTGTTCCCTTAACAAGAGGAGAAACTTTCTAAAAAAATCATATGGCTGTGCTTATTTACAGGTCTGCATTATATGAAGTTCACATCAGTTTAAAACTGATACATTATTTACTTGATAGAACTTGCTGTTTCCAGAAGCATTAGTATTAACGCAGTCACTCCAAGTACTGTTGTCACTGTTTTATTTAGAAATCTAACAAAACCCATAAAAAGTTTTTCAGTAGTTTTTATTTCATCAGAAATTACAGTAAAGATTTTTAGTCTTGCCAGATAAACCCAATGAAAGTATTCTACAAACTTTTTTCCATGTCACATTAGAAATATTAACAGCAAAGTTTAATAGGCAATGGGTTCAAAAGGCATGTTTGGACCAAGTAATGTAATAAAACTGACATGAAGACAAGTTGCAATATTTTATCAAGAAAAAATCAATCTGAATGTTAATCGTGCTTTTAATGTTTTATTTTGCCAATAAAATTTTATTTCTTGATACAAATAACAATGTTTAACTTTAACAAGTTTATGAAAGAACATCGGATAACAAT